TTATTTTATGACTTTGCATTGTCTTGGAAGCACTATTTTTATTACTCTTACAAACATTATTTTTATGAAGTGCATTCTATAATGCTTCCAATTTATTTTATGTTCACTAAACTAATATTGATGTATTTTTTATTTGGTAGGATTGTGTTGGTGCGATTGATGGAACATATATAGAAAGGGAGGATTCTAAAGCGGTGCAACAAGCATATCGTAATCGCAAAGGAAGAACATCACAAAATGTCTTATGTGCTTGTGATTTTGATATGCGATTTACCTTTGTTGTTGCTGGTTGGGAAGACAATGCACATGATAGTAAAGTACTTGAGAATGCACTTGTTGAACCAACGTCACAATTTCCATTTCCGTCACATGGTAACTTTAAATTACATCCTTAGAATAAATATTATTTATTTACACAAAGTTGTCTCATTTACGTCACATATGCTTTTAGTAATTCTTTATAAAATACTTTTTGGTAGATTAATATTATGTTGTTGATACTGATTTTCGAAACACAAAAGGATTTTTAGCTCCATACAAAGGACTACGCTATCATTTGCAAGATTACCGAGGAAGTGAAAAGAGAGCCTCAAAAATGCCAAATAACTATTTAATTATAGGCATTCATCTCTGCACAATGTGATTGAACGGACTTTTGGAGCTTAGAAAAATAGATTTAGAATACTGAAACAAGGCATGAACCATTATGATATTGATACACAAGTGAAAAATTGTCATAACTTGTGCAGTGTTACATAATTATTTGCAAGAATACCAAAGTAGTGATGAAAAATTTATGGTCTATGAATATGAAGATATAGTTGCGGAGGATCTAGACCAACAAATGGCTCAAAGTAACAATGTTGGTTCGTCTTCTCGGTCATATGATCGAGAAATGCAAGTTCAACGTAGGAAATTGTCCGTACTATGTGGAAAGATTATATTAAAGACTAGTACACTACAATTTATGTTCAATTTTTTTTTATTAAATTAAAGTTAGATGAAACAATTACTTAAGTGGAGAACAAATAACTTTGTAATAATTTATTATGCGATTTTATAAATTTTTGTTTATTTGATAAGATTGAATAAACAATTGGGGCTATTTTAATAGTTATACAACTTATGGGATTTTTATGTTTATGAGAAAATATACAACACAAAAATTTCATATCGCATGTCCAAACAAAACTTCAATTTCATCTCATGATACCATATCGCATGGCCAAACGGGCCCTAAGTATGATAGCCATGCAAAAACCATGCTTAAAACATATATTTTATTTGAAATCATGCTTTTATGCCATTTTGATAAAACTTCATGGACATAAGTATAAGAGGCATATTCTACAAACATAACCAACATACAAGTCATTTCATCACAATAGAGACATAATCAACATATAAGCCATTACCTTCACATTAA